ACACGAAAAGTATGAATAATTAATATTATATTTAAATATCAAAAAGAAACATATCAAAATGTGCATCTGTACAATATCGTAGAAAATATCTGTAGTTAAATTTAAAAAACTGTCATAAGTAGAAACAAAGGAAAGAGTATGATTTTTATGGCAGAATATAATTATATAAGAACAAGAGAATTTAAGGCAATAAGCACACTTCTGAAACGTTCATGAGATTTTTCATAGTTTAAAATATGATAGAACGCATGTAACACACCACAAAACGTAAATAAAAATGTGATCTGATATTTTTAGCTACAGCTATTTTGATATAGTATCCAATCAGCATTAAAAATTTTAGATTGGATTAATTGTTTAACAGAAAGCACACAAGGGCTATCTACCTAAAGAGAAGGATGTCTTTGTTACTGAGGTAAATTGAGTCGTATTCAAGTTACGTATGTGGAAAATTACAAAAGCTCTCGTACACCAGCCCGTTCGACTGGATTTGAACTTTGATCAGCTTGCCAGTGTTCAGTTTCCTTATTCGATCGGCTGTTGGTCAGCTTCATAAATCAAAACGAAGGCAATCAAATTTCCAAATAATTTGGTTTGAAAGTTTGCTATTCGTAATTCATTTCTTTTGACATGATGATGAATAAAAAGGAATCAAATTTGGTTTCCAGTTTTCCTGAAGAACACTGTCTTTGGCAGATTGTATACGAACAATATGTTTAAGGATTATTGGTTTCTTCTTATACATACAAAATCTTCGAAGTCACGAACTGACAAACTTAACTATGGATAAAACATCACATGCTTAGCATTTTCTGTCATTCAGTCATGCTAAGCTCATTCTAGAACTTTACTAAACGACAAATTTTATCAGTTAAACAAAAATTAATGAATCTAAGAGAAAATAAAAGTTTTTTAATCTTTCTTAACTATATGTACTGTTAAAGCTGAAATACAATATACCAGCTTCATTTATAGGAACGGAATTTCATTTGTGTGTCCAAAGAAAGCTTACAGAAGCCTTCCAATGACATCCAAAGGAAAAGACCATAGCTGATCATTATTAATTTCTTGTATTTCTTACGAAGACTTAGTCAGTTGATGAAAACTTAATTAGTTGATGAAAGAAATCTATGAATTGAAAGACTCATTCCAGAAATGTTTCAAACACTTCTGTATTGTACGCCTATCCATAACAAGTTAAGCTATACTAAAGATATTTTATCGTTTTCTTTTTTTTTTTTTTTTTTTTTTTTCTATGCTCAGGCATGTGGAAGTTTTCTACTTAAAAATATGTTCTTCGCATATGCCACAAAAAAGCTTAAAATGAAATTATATTCTATCTATAATTTACTTATTTCTAAGTAGGAAATCATTAGCATATTTCCGTTAAAAAATTACTTCACCATGCTGAAGAAAAAAATAGTTTTCTATATAATTCCTAATACTTTCTTTCAGTCAACTAACTAAGTTGACATTAATGAGGACTGTGGTGAGCGTAATTATTTTAAATACAAAAATGAGACATAATATATAAACTTCCTCCATAAACTGAAATCGGTAAATATTCTTCAATTACATTATACTTTCGAAAAGCCACAATCTAGAAACTAATTATAAGTTTAAAAAAAATTTTAAATTTAAAAAATTTAAAGTCAGATGCATGATGTGAGCCAGCCCTGTCCAGGCGGCCATTGAAACGAACGTTTCGTTCACGAATGATATTACACACAAAAGAGGAATAGGCAGACTGCAGAGAGTCAAATACAAAATTCGTGTTTGTTTTACGAACATAACGCTAGAAAAGAAAATACAATGCAATAAAAAAATTTGTTCCCATTTAATAATTAAATTAATATAACTAGTAATAAAATCAAAAATAGAAGCATTCATTCTTTTGCGTATTAAAAACTAATTCATTATCCCCAATAAAAAATTGAAATCAAAAGAAATTATCACTAATGTTAGGTATATTTTTTGCATGCTGTCATTTTATCTTGCAAGATAACACTAATATTTGCTTTTCTATCGAAAAATTAAAATTCCAAACACCGTACCTCAGGAACAATCAATCCTAAATGCGGTAATATGTTGCCCATGCTGCCATCTATTGAGTACAGATGAAACTTTAAACGTCAGGGTAATGGGTTCATACAAACGTTCACATTAGAAAATTTTAATTTGAAAGAAACGTAGTTTGAAGCTAGCCTTGAGATTAATTTCTCTATATTCCGTAAACAAAAGCTGCGATAATATTAATATACTGTCAGTGAAATTAGACAGAAACTGGTATTTTATAGCTCACTTGTGTAATGTAATAGCATTGCAAACCCACTAAGACTGTGGTCTCAAACTTAAATTGTACACAGGCTGAATGCCGGTTCTAGAAGCTGGCGAACTGCAATATTTTTAACAAAATGACTGTGAATTTATAAGTATATTTATCTATTATGTTGTGTTGTATGTGCACGTATCTGTCTATCTTACTACATACTATGTATACAGAGATATATACTGTATATATACATATGCATTAAGACGCATATACTCCTAATGTAGTACATATACCATTTTGTAACATGATATTTCGCCTGACGTGTGAGGGGGCGGGTTGCATGTAATTTTACATTATGCTTGGAAGTTTTATTTTTAAAACCTAATTTGTCTCAAACTTGGTTTAACTGAAAATATGTTTCAGTAATATCCATTTGTATTTTCTACAATATTTTCTTTATGCTTTTCTTTCAATTAGAAGCTTCCCTCCCCCCCCCCATTTTCTGTAGCTACTTAATTCCTTTTCGATATATATCAAAACATAATCAACAATAATAATAAAAATGCAAAGGAAAAAAATTATTTTCTATGTGAAACTTAAATGTCGATATTTGTAAGAAATTTCTCTTAGTTACACCTCACAATTCAAACGAAGTTCCAGAAAATGTTAAATTTTTAGATTTACATTTATTTCAAATAGTCCTGATATGTTGAATTATCAACTAAATAATTTACTTTAAAATAAATAAATTTTACCAAAATTTTCCAGATATCTAGATAAAACTTTCATACTGGAAGAAAGTTTGAGAATAAATAATGACAGTCGTCTTTCCTTTATTTATTTCTTCGGCATATGCAGAAAATATGTATATATTTGTATGTAAACAATTATATATGTATATATAAGTATAAGTAATTAAGAGTAATTTAAAAAGCCGAATACTTGCACTAAAGCGGGTAAGTAATAAATCAATAATTTATTATTAGATAAGTTTTTTATATATCATCTCCAGAGAACATAAATTTAATTAATGCAATGAATTATTGGAATACATTTCAGTCAGTATTTTAAGTATAAGTAATTTACATTTCTATTGTAGTAAAAATATTTTTATAAGCTGAATAGAAATAGTATTTTTAAATCGAAAAAATTCTAAAAAGTATAATTAAAACAAAGTTTAAAGTACTAAAAACAGTAGCCATTGTTATTGACAGTACATTAATTGACTTATCAAGGGAAACAAACCAATCCGCTATCAAATAACAATAACTAAGAAAGTTTCTTTTTTCCAAGTAAGGATGAAATCAGTTATTTTGCTAGAGTTAAATCATAAGCTACGAACAAAACTCAAAGGAGAGAAAGATAATTATTCTCCTTGAACCAAAATACTTGTCATAAACAAACCGAAAAAGAATAAACAAGATTTTCTTTTTAATTTAAGGTACTTGTTAAGAACTGAATCAAGTGAAATCCTCACTTTAGATAAAACATTCCCCGATATTCTCGTACGTCTAACATTGAATTTATAAATTGTTGATCCACTAGATGACAAGCATGTAAATTTAGAGAGATACCTTCTTCTGATAATTAAAAAAAAAAAAAAAAAAAAAAAAAAAAAAAAAACAGTTTTTATAAACAAATCTACAAGAATATATTAATTTGCGCATATTTCTATTGTTTTCAAGTATCTTTTGTACATGTTTCAATTACTCAATTAATATTTATTGTTTTTACTACACTGTGAGAGTGTCGGGGAATATTTTTCTAAAGCGAGGATCTCCCTTAATTAAATTCTGAACAAGTACCTTAAATTAAAAAGGATATCTTACTGATTTTTTTGGCTTGTTTATAAAAAGTACTTTGGTTCAAGAAAATTATCTTTCTCTTTTTTGAGTTTTCTCCGTAGCTTATGATTTAACTCTAGCAAAATAACTACTTTTATTTTTACTTGGAAAAAAGACGGAACACTCTCATTTAATTTAGTTATTGTTATTTGATAGTGAAGTCGTTTCTTTCCCTTGACAAGTCAATTAATCTACGGTCAATAACATTTCTTAACTTGTGAATACTTTAAACTGTACCTTTCAATTTCCTGTTTAAAATAATATTTCTATACAGCTTATTAAAATATTTTATTACAATAGAAATCTAAGTTATTAATACTTAAAATACTGACTCAAATTTATTCCAATTATTCATCACATTAATTAAATTTATGTTTTGTGCGATGTAGTGAACGTTGTTTAGCGTAGTAAGAAATTAGATGCGTTATTAACAATATAATTTAATCATTTATTCTTAGCGAGAACAGAGACAGCGTTGATTCAGCGGATACCTGTTGCGTGAGCGTTCTACTGCGTAGTAGAATAATGTATCTCAGTTGCCAATTCTCAGAGACTAAACTTTACATTATTTTCTCGTTGCCAGATGTAACAAATTAACATATGCACAATAACAAAAATTCGACGGGAAAGTGCTCCGTTAGCCAAACGATAAAGTTACAAGTACGAAATATCCCGCCCGGCGTTGAAATATTACATTATTTAAAATTTAAAGAAAAAAAAGTATGAATACAAACATATAATGACACAACATACAGCAAATACACTAATTAATAATTCAATTAAACAAAAAAATTATCCAACACTAGAAATATTGTTATCTAGAATAGGTAAAACACAAATTTTCGAAATTGGTCTTCTGAAAACACCTTTTGGAGTGCGTACGTCTATGACTCTGACATTTCCGTCAGGACCTGAATCCCCTTAATAATTCGACCCAAAGACCAATTGCAAATGGGAAGTTGAGAGTCTTTTAGTAAAATGAGCATGCCAGGAGTTATATTTGGCTTTTTAAGCACCCACTTAGAGCGTTGTTGCAGATTGCTTAGATAGCTGTTTTGCCAGCATTTCCAAATGTTTTGAACTAATTTTTGAGTTCTGTGCCACCTACTTAGAAGATTATCTCTTTTGTCAATTAAATTTGGTTCTGGTATGGCATTTATCGGTTTCCCTATCAGAAAATGTCCAGGAGTTAATGCTTGAAAATCATCTGTATCAGTAGATAAGGGTGAGAGTGGCCGCGAATTGAGGATGCCCTCGATTTGAACTATTACTGTTAAAAATTCTTCAAAAGTTAACCTAGCGGAGCCTACGACTCTCTTTAGATGGTACTTGAAGGCCTTTACACCCGCCTCCCAAAGGCCGCAAAAATTGGGTGCTCTAGGAGGCAAAAATTTCCACCTGATACCTTCTGAGGCTAACAGGCTCGAAATGTCCTCACTGTTTAACATTAATTTATGCAAATGTTTTAACTCTGCGGAAGCTCCAGTGAAGTTCGTTGCGTTATCGCTAAAAATTATTGAACTCTTGCCGCGTCGTGCAAAAAATCTCTTTAAAGCAGCGATTAGAGCTGACACAAATTCCATGTGAATAGCTTTAGTCGCCATACGTACAAATATAGCTACATAGATTTTTTGAAAAGTACCCTTTCTCTGGCCTTTGTATTTAATTTCAAAGGGTCCACATAAATCTATTCCTACATTTAAAAATGGGGAACTAGGCGTTACTCGTTCTGAGGGAAGATCTCTCATAATCTGGGTAGCAACAATTGGTTTATTCTTAAAGCATTCCACACACCTCATAAACGACTTTTCGTGCTGTACTTCTGCCACTAAGTGGCTAATATTTAAAACGAACAGTATTTAGTAGGGCTTGAGGGTCTACGTGAAAATCTCGTTTGTGATAGTATTGAAATATTAGAGTTACTAATTTATTTCCAGCTGGCAGAATAAACGGATTTTACGATTGAAATTTAAATCTGAATGTGAAAGTCTAACACCAACTTTTATTAATCCGCTTGATGGATCTAAAAAAGGATTAAAAAATTTAAGCTTACTGGTAGGTGGAACTGAAGATCCTCTTTATAAAGCTGATATCTCCGCAGGAAAATACTTTACCTGTAAATGTTTTATCAAATAATTTTCTGCTCTTTCATATTCTTCGGACGTGAGCTCTCTTGTAGGCGTTTTAGGAGATTTACACCTTCTGCAAAATCTAAAAATAAAGCCTAAAATTCTAATTAGTTTATGAAAGTTGTTACTAATATTAAGTAAGTTATCGAAAAAAGAGTCATTATTTAAACTGAATGTCACTTTAGAAACAGTCTTGAGTTCATCATTATAAAGTTTGTCAGTTGAACTACTGGGAGTTTGCAAAGTCTGAGGAATAGGTAAATTTAATTTCGAAATGTCTGGTCCTTTCCATCAAAGTTCACAAGCGGCAAGTGCTTTAACTTCCAGTCCCTTGGAGATCATGTCTGCTGGATTGAACTCTGAAGGTATATGATGCCGTTTGAAGTCTTTAGATATCTGCTGGATTTGTGATACTCGGTTGCCTACAAACGTCTTAAGCAGATTTGAAGGAGTCTTGATCCATGCTAGTGCTATTGTAGAATCAGAGTACAATTTCACGGAGTCTATTTGAAGGTTAACAGCTGTTAGGACCTTTTCCGTTAGTTTTGCGAGAAGAAGGCATCACAAAGCTCCAGACGTGGAATTGCAATGCATTTTGTAGAAGCAACACGTGATTTGCTGCAGAGAAGTGTACTGTTTACTTCACCGGTACTGGACACAGTTTGGATGTATATCACTGCACCGTAAGATGCGTCTGAGAAACCTTGGAGTACTACCAAATTGGTATCGGTTTAAAAAACATCTTGGTACATGAATGTGTTCCAAATGCGGTAGTATTTTAATGAAGTTTTCCCACTGTTCGGCAACAACTGGAGGTAGTGTTTCATTCCAGTCTACTAGCTTAAACCAACCATAACTATTGCATAAAGATTTTTACTTTAACACTACAGGACCCAAGAGTCCGAGTGGATCATAGATGCGTGCTATTTGGGAAAGTACATCTCTTTTGGTGAAATTAGAATTAGCGCTTATGCTTACTTTATATGTAAAGGAATCGCTTAAACTATTCCAAAACATTCCTAGCGTTTTAACTATTATTTCTTCAGAATTTCGATCAAGCGTGAACTCTTGCAGTTCAGTAGTTGGTGCCTTGTTACAGCACCACTTGTGCAAATTCATTCCTCCCCTCTGGAAAAGCTGCTTTAACATCAGTTTTTCTAGCTCGTTGAAGTCTGAAGAACCAGAAAGGCAATCGTCCATGTAGAAATCTTGAAGGACTGCTCTTGAAGCTAAAGGGAAGTCCTTTCCCTCATCTAGGGCAAGTTGTTGTAAAATCTTAGTGGCTAAATATGGGGCAGACGCGGTTCCATACGTTACAGTTCGTAACTGGTAAACTTTAACTGGTGCGAATTTACTATCTTTACATAAGATTTTTTGAAGCTTAGTTTGCGAAGGATTAACTTCAATCATTCTGAACATCTGTTTGATGTCAGCAGTAAAGGCGAAAATGTGCTTTCTAAATCTAATTAGAATCGAGAAGAGGTCTTCTTGAAGTACTCCTCTTTTGCACAATAAATCATTTAAGGAATGCCCGATAGACGTTTTCGAACTCGTGTTGAAGACCACACGTAGTTTAGTTGCTTTGCTGGTGGGACGCAGTACGCCGTGGTGTGGTAGATAATACCCGTCATCTATAAGTATATCTTCTTTCACCTCCTCCATATGATGCAAATTTTCATATTCATTAAGAAATTCTACGTAAAATGTTTTCAAAGTAGGATCCCGTTCCAAGCGCGTCCACAACTAATCTAGTCGTTTCAATGCGATTTCTTTAGAATTTCCTAACATTTTTTCCGAAGATTCTGGCTTGAGTGGCATTTCAACCACACATCTACCGTCTGGTTTCCTATAATGTGTTTTCGCAAAGTGTTCATTGCAGTAATTTAATTAGTCATTACAAGTTTTGCGTGGTTCTACTTCGATTTCCCAGAAGCTTGTGAGGGTTTTATTGAGAGTTTCTAAATTTTTAGACACTGTTTCATGTTCCTTAGAGATGATATATAAAAAAACTTTTATAATAATATATATATGTGTGTGTGTGTGTATGTATTTCGTACTACAACTTGACACTTGATCACTTTTCAATTCTGATAAAGTTTGCAGCGTTGGAAAAATTATTAGAAACTATACTCACACGAACTGTAGATACTCATTGATAGGGTCATCGGGTTCTTTTCTCCAACTTTATTAATTTTCAACTGTCAAAAAACAACCCAAATGACTCGAATATTCCTACTGAAAATATCATAACTGAGTTTATTTATCTTTTGACAAGTACAAACAAAATTTAATAAAATCTGTATCTTCAGATCCTTGACAAATATTTGTATCACAATTAGTAAATTAATTAGCTCTATTTGTAGTTTTTTTCTAGTACGTTATTCATGTTCGTTTTAATGCTAAGGAAAATGGCGTTAATTGAATTCCAGATCATTAACATCAGTGTATCTATCCTCAAATTCTTATCATAATTATGCTATTCTTCTTAGATATTTTTGAGATTTTAATTTTGCATAATAAGGCAGGATTTAAGATGTAGGAAATATACAAAATATTTTTATGCAAATTGTGTTTTCCCGTAACTGTAATTTAACTTCAAAAGTTTTAATGCAAGCATGCATGCCAACGATAAGTTTATTCTTTACTTAATTAAATCAACCAGAAATGCTAAATCTGTTATCCATACTTTACTTACATATTTTAAATACTTTGTAGAGTCATTAGGTATTTTTTGGAAGCAAGAAGGATGAAAAATTAACAACGCCTTCGCCGGGAATCGAACCGCAGACCTCTGGAATACCGGACCAGTGTGCAAACCACTCACCACGAAGGCACGTAAGGAGGCGGAGAAACACCTTATATACTCCCTCTTTTAAAAGGCGACTGGGGTTTTTAGGGAAACCAATCGCCAAATCCTGGATTTGGAGAATCCTCATCCAACACCCTATTAGTTCGGGCGCCATTCTAGGGTCATTAGGTATTTTTTGGAAGCAGGAAGGATGAAAAATTAACAACGCCTTCGCCGAGAATCAAACCGCGGACCTCTAGAATACCGGCACAATGTGCAAACTACTACATCACGAAGGCATGCTAAGAAGGCGGAGAAACACCTCATAACTTCACTGGTGATATTATCTATTAATTTGAAACTCTGATTTAAATCAGAAAAACTACTTTAATATAGCTTCTTAACAGCACTAACCTCACATCGTTATACCCAGTAATTGCTCTGAACTCACTTTCAATTACTGCAAGCAATGCAGGAAAATCAGTGATTCAGAGCTCATCTGTGGATAAAGTTTATTGTTTTTACTATTGTTCCATAACCTTATTCAACTTCAAACTTTTGGCACCATATTTACAATAGGTACTCGAATAAAATGTGTTCTTGGGCCGCATACTATTGTTTCGGGGGTCGCATGCGGCACGAGGGCTGGTGGTTCCTATACCCCTCCTTTTAATTGGAATATTTTTCAACTAATTGCTTGAAAAAGCATGAACATCTTGCAAAAAATTAACAAAGGCCGGACAGGTATGTTAAAAATTAACAGACACGAAATAAATATGCCATGTATTAGAATTGTTCTTTAAGTAAAGTAGCAGTATAAAAATATATACCAAATAATATTGATTGCAGTGATTTTCTCCACATATTCAAGAGTAAAAAATGTGGCATATATAATTGTTTTCTTCATTTAAATACAACACTGTCACTGCACATCATTGCCACTGTATATCATTGAATTGTTTTCAATTGGAAAATATATAAAATTCCATGTATAATATTGTTTTATCATTGGCGGGGAGGCGCTTTTGGGCATACTTTGGATTTTCTACTCTGTTTATTTAGCCAGTTTTCTTTGTATTTTTTAATCTTTGCTCATCATTTTAAAAATTCATGTATTTCATTTAATTTGAATACATCCCGATGAGTAGTGTTGCTAAATATTTCTTTGAAAGATGAGCAAAAATCTTTCATTAACTCAGAGAAAATATTTTTAATTGTTTATTGGTAAAAATTTTTAATGAATAGTGTTCATCCAAAAGTATTATGTTAGTTTATGCTTTCTCTATGTATAAAGTATATTTTTGTTCAGCTTTTGCGCCTGAGGTTTGTATGATATCAATCACTTTCAATTTATTCACTGTTAAGACAATGTTTCAAATTATGTTTAACTATATGTCTGAATGATCTGTTGTATGAGTACTATGTTATTACGTAAAAAGGAAATAATCATCAATTAGGAAAAGCTCACCAGTTGGATAGTGGATAAGATCATTGAACATGCAATATAGGTTTGGATTCCATCATATGGGTTGGCTGCATGTGTATTTTTGCACTCTATTTTCTTAATGCTTAGTGTGAATACAAGCCACTTTCATTTAAAACGTGCTTCAAAAAGGTATCCCTTTCTTTAAGCAGATAGCCCTCACGATCATTCTCTTAATTAATTAAACAGCTAAACATGCATTAAAAAATATAATTTATAAAGAATTATTCTTAAATTTTCGAATGAAGGGGGTGGTTTAAATACCATTTATTTTAAACTTTAACACTGTATGTTAATGGATAAATGCCCATTTACAATGCTCTCAGAAGCAGGATTTTTAACTTTATTTTCTGTTCCTAGAGCAAACCTTCTAGCAGTGTTTAATATGCTTTTTAACAT